AAACGCAAATACCTATATAGCTAGACAAACAAGCTAAAACACGTTATTGGGCCTGTAAAATTTGTTCCCATCATCAGATCCTGATTTGGTGGTAAAGGGACCACCTCGTGAGCATACCATATCGATTACAAAAACAATTTTGAATATCGGTTCACAATTGACGGAGATTTCGCGTAACAAACATACAAAAAAACCTCCTCTTTCGTGTTTGTGAAGCCTGTTAAAAATGACGTTTAGGGTTTATATTTATTAAATTCTCCATGAAGAATTGGCGTAGATTTTTGTTTGTGTGTAAAACACATCTTTTATTCATGTGTGTAACTGGCCACAAGCGATCGCAGACAAAAAACAGTGAAGGTACTTTTAACTACATAATCTTAGTTCTGTGGTCCGGTATAAACGGCGATTGATATAAGGTCAACGGCGGCGCACTGACTTTTAGAGACCGGTGTTGTCTACTTGAAGCAAACATCAAGGTTTTAAAACTTAATTTACAAATATGACTTGAACTTTCATGGTATATTTTGACAGGTTTGTTGCCCATTTTTTTTTATATTTAACATAAATATGACTTAAAAATATCGCGCTCAAATCTAGGTAAGAAGATGTTTGAATGTCTCGTTTTGGCCTGTTTAGTAAATCATTTTTGTATAAGCATCGTGTGTCAGCAAATATAAACAATTGGACCATCAGTCACATTGACTTATTTAGTACGGAGTATCTGAATCATAATTTAAAAAAATCTACTGGAAATTGCACAGCACACATAATGCTGAATTTATTTTGAAGTAACATTCTAACCAAAACATTTTTATTGTACAAGTATTTTTCATTGCAGCAAGCCCTTAAAGTAACGGTCTTGCGTTCGTTATGTTATGTTTCTACTCGTAAGGTTATCAAACGACCCAAGAGTTTCTTTACCGGCTTACACTACTAACAACCCAATTAACTGACAACAGAATGTCCTGTGATTTATGTTTGTTACTTAGCCTTGTTATATTACCTTTGCAAAAGTTGTTGTTATCATACTGCGCAAAAAAGTTCTTTATTTTTATAGGAGTACATTGTTAAAAAAGTAAAACCTTTAATAGTAAGGTTTTATGGTTCACATGCGGGTACTTAGTTTTTGACTACTTTCTTATATTTGATAAAGCGTATGTTTATTAATACTTTAAGTTAGGTAGTTATCGCAAACAAAGTACAAAAATTGAACTTTTACAATTTTACGGACATTTGTATAATTTATATTACAGTACATAATGTACTCTTTTAAGACTGTTTATTCCATGAATTTTCATGAAATGTAAAAGTCTGCTTCGTATTTTGATCGTAAGTCTGTGTAATCCTGCAATTGCTTATACCTATTAGGATTGTTTAACCTAGTAAAATTTATACAAGTTCTTCTCAGTTTCATTAGAGGCGCGGTGGCTCTAATGAAACTGAGAAGAACTTGTATAAATTTTGGTAGTTTTTAATCGGGCAGTAGTAAGTCTTTATCGTTTGGTGGGGACTACACATATTTTTAAGTAAAGAATTGCATGTGTAAAGAAGAAATTGATGACATCCCGAACATCTACCGTACCTACTCGAACTATCCGCTGACTTTGTACTTCGCTCTGAGTGTTAAATCTATCGACAGTTGTGTGATGGTTTATTTGATCGCAGTGCACGAACTTGGATCGTACTTCACACACATTCTGTAACTGCCGATAGTTGCTCGATATTTTAAACAAATAGGTATTGTGTAGTAATATTTGAAACTTTGATTCAATTAATCAATCAGCCTACTGCAATGATCTTCTGAATATAAGCTTCTCCCTAAGTGCGCCATGACCTTCGGTCCTCCGCCTTCCGCATTCTATCCTACCCCAGCTACCTTGGTCAGGTCGTCAGTCCATCTGGCTGGTGGGCGTTCTACCTTTATTTAGAATATTGCTTGAACTTAATAGTCAAATGCGTTCACTAATACAGCCACATGCAGATTATCAGGTCTATTAAACTATCAGCCAATTAAAAACCACCAGTGCGCGGCGACCCTAAGTCAAAAGTTACATTTATTAATAATGTTAAAGAGCTTAGCGTGTATTGAAACACATATCGTGTTGCAGAGAAAGTAGAAAACGTATTGTAGTGCATCAGGGCTCGACCAGTATTTTAGTCATTTATTAGAAGCATAATGCAGCGGTCAGTTAGTACGAGTTTTGCATGTAGGCAAAACGAGAAAATACCTATTAGAGTTTCAGGCGATCGAGTTAAGATCTGACTTTCACCGTTTACATTTCGCTCTTGGTATTTGTGTTATGGAGATAATGTGGATACGCCCTTAGGTTAAACGATGTCAAGCTTTGTATAAGGTTTAGATATACATACATAAAATATAGATATAGGTGGTCATTTGAGTTTTAGAAACTTAGATTTATGCCCAGCTAAATACAGCAACTTTCGTGCTATGATCAAATTGACAAAAATGTGATATTTTATTATATTAACATCAAAATATAAATATCTTTGTAGGATGAGCGCGAACATACGCATGGCGAAGTATTTTAAGTGACGTATATCATTGTATGGGGGGGAGAGGGGGTATCGATTCCCATGACTGGCGTACTTTCTGCCTACAAATTCCGACACAACCCCTGGTTCGCGAGTCAGATTCATACTTGTCTAGATTTCTTTTATGATTGACCTAACTTTTTGTTTTATTCATTTAAAAAAGACCTTTCTTTTTTAGACTCTTTTAAAAAAAGATCCCGCACTAGGAATATATCCTGTGTCGCGGAGGACTTTACAAACCTACATGAAACGGACACAAAGAACACCTAGACTTCAGAACAACAATTTATGGATCACACAAAGTGTTGGTCCATGTGGGCCGCGAACCCACAACACTCAGCGCAATAGGAAGCGGTGAGGTACCCGCTTAAACCACTACGCCATCCGTGCAGTCCTAACTTTTGTTTCGGTTCGACTGGAACTTCTATTTATTTACAAAATATACTAAACTATTATTACGTTAGAAACGTAAAAAATTTAGAATACTAAATATAAGAGATATTTGGTATTCTATGTAATTTCTATATGTTTCTTCTCTTTGTTTTACATAATTTGCAGTTTCGTCATTATCTTTGTACCGAAAGATGTGTTATAGATACTAAAATATAGACTACTATAGATTTACTATAGTAAAACAGGTTAGTTACCGAAGTAGTCGGTGAATATTGGTACTTATTTGTTAGTACCCTCCCGGCACGGTTGCTATCTTACCCCCGGCGTTCACGGACCGTTAGGTAGCCTGATAGCAATCAACGAGATTGTGCCCCCGTTGACCGATACTACACATTGCATCGTGCTCTTAATTTTGTATAAAAGCCAAGATAATGCATCGATGTAATAAATAGTGAAATCCCTTACTTGTTTAACTGAACGGGTCCTCATTTTAGGAGAGTTTATCGTCTGTATAGTTTCAGTGAGTTCGAATTATTTCAATTGTGTATGTTTTACACTCTTGCTTAAAGCTTTTAGACTTTTATGTTTAGACACAGAAGCAGCATCTCCACCCTATAGCAGAATATGGTTTAATGTCGATGAAGTTGGATTAACAACCGCTTTTAGCATATCTAGCTTTTAGCGTCATAGCTGTTAGCACCGCTATCCGTGTGGTGAGGGATTGAGAAAAAGGAGTATCACCACCACTAGGTGTCCTAAGAGCCGCTAAGCGAGCAAACTACGCAGGACAACAGCACTGCAAAGAGAAGGAAAAATTGACACAAACCCTATACCAAGCCGTTTGGTTCTCGAACTCATGTATTAATAATTGCCTACGAATGCGTGGGTTTCTATAAAAACGAATTTATTAATTAATCAGTAGGTTAGACCCGTAATCCTCCAAGTGTTATCATAATCTTTTTTAATAATTTCTTCAAACACGAATTCCCACCAACGAAACTAACATGTCCGTCTTACTTCGTGAGAATTAGTGAATTATTATTTCTATTATTTCGCTTTGAAATCAAACTTTTACAATTAAAGTTAATGTGTTCTGTCTGCGTATTATGCAAAGCAAATAACTCGTGCTGATTGTACATCAACAGTAACAACGATTATATTGTTGATTGAAATGTATAGTCATTCTTTGATATTGCTTTTGTATGACTAGTGAATTACAAATGTGGCATCTCTATAATCGCAAAATAATGACTAGATAACAAATAAGGACTGCAATAAAATCTAATAAGCAGAATGGAATACTGATTTTAACTACAGGTTAATTTTGTCCGCCTATTATGGAAGGCATCTAAAGATCTTTGTGAAGAAATGACACTGCGTGTAACTACGCTTAGTTTGTTAGGAAAAGGCATTCTCATTATTTACAAAGTAATTAACGAATAGCCGCATTGCGGTTACTACATAGATACAATATAATAACTTTAAGTGGTGCTCAATACCACAACGATGGCAACAATACCACAATTCGTTTTCTATTCTATCCTTACTTGGCATTGATGATGATAACTCCTAATTAAATACATAATCATGCGTTCATGCATTGTCTGCAAGTCAGAAACCATCCGCCACGTTAAATTAAAATTAAAAACATTACATAAAACAACATGACTCCCTGCCAGTCAAGTGTAGTGGTTAGTGATTCCACCCCGGGAAAGAATTGTGTGATGAGCATGATCATTTTTTCTGGGTGGAATTTATCTGTAATATGTGTTTATTACCACAGCACAGAGCACCGCCGTGTGGCCGTGTGCTAGATATGTGAAAAAACTTAATTTGTGCTTAGAATCTTTACTCATCTTATATTGTATGCAACCCAGAAAATAACCGTAGCCGGCAGCAAATATTATCGATGTCACTTTAAATGAAAATTAACCACATTTACAAAAAAATTACATGACTCCTCCCAGTTAACTCAGAAACTGCCAATTTCTACATAGATTTATATCACACATAATTATATCTAGTAGTCCTATATCACTATTTGTTTGTTCCAGGGGCTCGAAATTGTAAACCCTCAAGCAGCAGAGACGCGTACCAACGAAGCCAACGCCAAATATTTTTCAAACACTTCAGGTTTTCTGTCTGTTGGAAAGAACACCACCTAACGACTCAAGTATATTTACTTCAGACGGTCTATGAATAAACTGCATTGCTTGACACCAAACTTTGTTTTATTAGTATGTTGTTGTACCCAGTGTAGCGGTAAGTTGGCCAAGAAGAACGTGAGCGTATCCATACGAGCGATTTCACTCAGCCTAGTGTTTCGCATTTACTTCAACTAATGGTGTCCGTTCTGTTGCACATTTCATCATAAATTGCTATCTCTGTTTATGAACAGTACGCAATAATTGTATGACAATGTGTCCCATTCTTATGCCAGGAAATCATGAGCTTAATAGGACGAAATTAAGTACTAAATAATAAAACTTAAGTACTAAATAATAACTTGAGCAAAAAATACGGCTATTAGATTAACGATAATGACTAAAGCATATTATACTAGTACAGCTCTCCGCAGTTTCTCCTGCGCTTCAGTGACATCCGCATAAGGTTTCATATACAATGTATGATAAAATGAATTTTCTGTAAATTTTATTTCCTGATTGTTTTGATCATTTTTATAGTTATTCTGCTATTTGCGAGGTGTAGATAAATCCAAAAATATCGAACATCGTAAAAATTGGTCCAGTCGTTCTTGAGTTTTAAACGGTATAACTAATAGATTGGGAAGGGATTTCGGGGTTTACTCGAGCGTGTCAGATTAACATAGGAGGAATACCTTACACCCAGTTGAGTACCTTTACCAACCATGAACCCTATATATAGGAGGGATAGTCTAAGGCAGCCCATCAGTTTAGTGAAAAAAATTGAGTGCCAAAAATACTCGAGCGTGTAAGATTAAGGTAAGTTGAGTCAGTTACATACACATTAGTGTGTATTTAAAAAAATCAGACGATTTGAGCGTAACATAAAGCAGTGGCAGGGTCAAAAAGTTTAAAAAAAACATGTCCTTGTCATTTTTTTTATTTTGAAGCAAACAATGGAAGAAATCTTCTTTAAATGTCTTTATAATTTTTCGTGCCTTTACTTGTCACTTTTTTATAAATAATCAAACATTTCAAACCGTCAGATATAAAATACCCTGCAAAATTATCGTCAGATTTTTTTGGATAGTATGACAGGAACATCATGCTGAACCGTCTGTATAAAATTTAACACTCGGATATTTTCGGCGAATTTTAGAATTTACAGATTGCATTTTCGATAATTATCCATGAGCTTCTGTTACTTTAAAGTCGTCAGACCTTTTAATGGCAGCATCTACGGCATCCAAATAGCATATGTATCCCCAAAATATCTGATGCTCCCTTAGAAATTATTTCGATTTCCTCTTACAGTTTCGAAAACCTGTAGAAGCTTTTCCCATCGCTAAAAGTGAAAACATTATATAACTTTTAGTTATTCTAGTACCTAATCTTTTAAATGCAATAGGTCTCCATGATGATTGAGTAAATCCCCATTTAGCATCACGCCCCCCCCCCCCCCGGGGATTGCAGAAGTTTGCAGAAACAACTTCGAAAATTCTTTAGTAAATATCCGTTAAGAACTACAGTTTCAATGTTTATAACCATATGAAAATCTATGCCTTAAAGGTCCTTCACATGTGTAGAAGCAGTATATAATTGTTTTATTGTCTTTCACAAGTAAGCACCGACAAAAGGTTATAAAAGAATGATGGTATTGTTCACTTCAAAAACTTTCTGTGTCTGTTATGTGGATAAAGTATGTAATTTTAAATTGACTGGTGAAAACTATTAATTAAAGTTAGAGATATATATATATATATATATATATATATATATATATATAGATAGGTTACTGAAATATATGTTTAAATATATTAAGTAGTATTGCTTTGATAAATTCATTATACCTACTACTGAAGGCATCGGCCTAGCTAGCTAAAGACTAATTAAAAATATCGAGATTTTATTTATATTAGTTTTAAATAAAGTGCCTGAACTAACTACCCAGTATTCACACTTATTAGTAGTTACATTACCTATCGTCCGCCATTAGTGGCATTGATATATTTGACCTACAATCAATCAGCAAAGGTCTACCTTTCACAAACACTGTGTTTATCTATACTAACGAACACATATATGCGAATCTTATGAAACCCACTACAAAGACGAATCGTGTGTTGTGACAGTAAATGAAATAAAGAGCACAACTTAAGATTAAAATTACAATATAATAAAGAGGTAGGTTATGAAATTCAGTTAAAAAATGTGCACAAGATAAAAATATTTCACTTCTTAGTTTCTTATTAGGGCACAGTATAGCCAGGTATATCTTATCATAATATTAATTAAGTGAATTCTTAGTGTGCTTTTTGATATATTTTTTGGTGAAAGGGTGGAAAATCCTTTTGGACTTCTGGCTACCGTAGAACACCATCGTGGTGATGCAGGTGCCACAAATATGTGGTGTTTCCCCTAAAACCACCCAACGGCTGGTCTCCCTGTCCTGCACTGGGTAGGACAGGGGCCATGTCATTTCAAGGTCCCTATCTCGGGGGAAGCAGCAAGCTTCATCGATTGTCGGATTGGCTTTTCCTCGTTGATCGGCTTAATAAAGGTATAAGTAAATACACACATATAAAATACGAGTATACATGGTATATAAACATCTAGGTACATTGTAGTGTAGCGCCCAATTGAAGATTTAGCTAGATAGATAATTAACAGCAGCGTTCTAGTTAATGTAGGTGTACTAATTTGAAGTTCGAGAAGTAAGTGTCGCTTAAGTCGTCTTAAGTTAAAAAATCAGTGTGTGTTTGCAACACTATACAGTAAGGGATGAATATCGGTGCTGCAAATGGAAGGTCTCGTCTGTGCCATTAGTTTGAAACGGGGTCTCGGAAACTCTCGGGGTACCGTATTTTCTTTGATGTTTAATACTACCTTAAGCGACAGTCTCACCTAGATGTAGTCAACATATGTGATAGTTACTAGTAAAAGGGGGATGGCACATGGAGCTGCATTGGTTTATTATGCTGAGCGGATGGCGTAGTTGTTTAATAATAATAAATATTTATTCATCCAAATAACCTTTAATAAATTGTACCTAATACTATTTAATATATCGGTTAAGGTTACACAGGTAAATATAAACCTTAACTCCCGAACTAGGTATTCCTGTGACTTGGGAGTAAGTGTTCTGCAGTCACTATATTCACAATGTACCTTTCTTGAATGATATTATTACGAGTACTATAGGTTGCATATCATACAGAGAACTTAATAAAGGTTTTGAAATCTAAAAGTAAATTACATTACTAATACAGTTTGTGTAACACATCCCACAAATTGTTGTTCTGAGCCTGGGTGTTTTTTGTGTATGTTTGAATGAATGTTTGTAAAGTCCACCGCTGAACAGGATATATTCCTAGTGCGGAGGGTGTCTATTAAAAAATAGGAATTAACATTTTAATGAATCTTCATATAGAAGTATACCGATAAGTATTTCTGGAATCCTTAGAAAGGTGTGTCCCAGTTCTGTGACTTCCTTATGTTTCAAGTCTCCTTACGTAAGTTGAGATGCACTGTTTTACTGTCTGTTAATAAAGAGATTGGCAACCAGACTTTTCTATGTTCATTACATTTTAATGCCTTTATATTTGTTGTCGTTGTCTTAAATGGTATTTAATAGTCTGTTTTATCTCTGCGGCATTTACTGTATATAAGTTGCATCATAATAAACATTTTTAACCGGCTCCAAAAAAAGAGGTGGTTCTCTGTTCGGCTGTTGTTTCTTTTTTATGTTCATTACTTCAGGACTCCTACAATTAGAACTGCAAAATAGACGTCACGTGATTCATATTTGTTAATTAGAAAAGTATTTAACCTATGTGTTGCCCGCAACTGCTTTAATGTCGTCCATCCATCTCATAAATGATCTACCACGGACCAGAAAAGCTGAAAACAGGAGTCTATGGGGGCAGTTGGAGGAGGCCTATGTCTATAATAGACAAACAGACAAAAACGATAATAATTTTAGTAATCTAACTAATTCAGAAATTAATTTATGAAGTAAATTATTGTAAATATAATAATATATAATATTAAAATTAAATAAGTATTAAATTTATTGTTTAAAACATATTAACAATATTAAATAATAAATCAAATGAAATAATAATTGTGCATGAAAAACTTAAGTATTTTGTCTGAGTAAAGGCTCTTTTATTTTATTTATTTATTTAATCTATACTTATTACAATTAAACATACAGCGTAAAGACTAAAAGACAATTGCTATTCTCTCTATTTTAATTTCTATTTCTAAAAGATTTTTTACCATTTTTAACAACTCATTTATTTTTCTAAATATTTGTCTCTTAACACATGAAGTAGTAAAGAAAATACGCTTTGTGTTTTTTTTAAACTATAACTTTATACTATTCTGCAAATTTATATGTTACTCTAGTAGATGATGAATATTGGCATTTGATTGCATTATTAAGAATGTACATTCATTGCATATTGGAAAAGCACTACTGGCAGCGTCAGTATAGTGGTAGACAGCAAAATAGGTGTAACCTAGCACATAGTAACGAAATACTAGTAATTATCGGCCTTACGATTCAATGTAATGCTTAATCAATTTCGCGCGTATTCAAAACCTGTTGCCAAGTTAAAACAGTGGACAGTAGAAAACTTGTATTTGATTGATTCACTGCATACATCTTAGTTAATTGGCGGCAACTATAAAGGTAGATACTCTGTCGTATTATCGTAGGTTTATGTTGTATATTGTGTCGTGATCGAATGCTTGGCAATACTATTAAAGGACTTTAAAATTTATACAAATGAAATTGAAGGTACATAGGTAGGTACTTAAGTAATTTTAGACAAAAACTACTTCACTTTTCTAATCGAATAATTCAGGGAAGGAATTGGACGAAACGTTGTAGTGTAGCAGTACATTGGAGCAATTAACAGCAGAAATCTGCTGTTGCTTCGATTTAGAGACTTAGTCTATCATGCCAATTATGAAGAGACAGGCAAAGATGCATGTGCTTCCTCATTTCAAAGATG